GAGTTATCGATTTTTAATGATAAACTTGATATGCGCGCTGTAATTACGGACATTTTAAAAAAAATTTGAAGTCTCTAGCTCTTATATCTTCTGAAATCGACGCGTTCATACATACGGACGGACGGACGGACGGACGGACGGACGGACGGACGGACGGACAGACAGACGGACAGGGCCAAATCAACTCAGCTCGTCGCCCTGATCAAGAATATATATACTTTGTGGGGTCTGCCACGCCTCCTTNTTTTAAAATTTTTATAATAAATTTTTTTTTTTTGTAGAATACCTCGTACAAACATGATATAGTAAATATAAGAACCACAACTAAGCAAAATTACATCTTATTTATCTGATGTTTTCATGGGCTTTTAAGACATATAGATAGTACTTGGTATGGGCATGAAATCTTTTTGTATAACCATTGTACAGTCTATTCACAATGGGAGTTAATTGCAGAAAGTGACGCGATTCATCCAATAAATCATATTATTATTCAAATAATTCCTCTCTTCTTCGCAATGATTTAGGGTATTCTCTAGTCAGTCACTTTCTTTGTAACTCAAGCAAATTAATCAGATTTGAATGTCTCACTCAAGCGAATTAAATCGTTTTTTGTCAATATTAATCAGACTTTAACGTAATTATCGACAGTTGACTTGACCCACTGCCTTTGCCGTAATAAATAAAAATACAAATTTGAGATTAAGTGTAAAGTAATTAATTTTGTTTACAAATTTTCTCTCTGTAAACAAGTAGTTGCATTAGAAATATTTTAAGAAATCAGCAGCAATAATTTATCAACTTATCTCATTAGTTGCTATTCGCATATGTTTGCAATATAATTAATTCTATAATTAAATCTTGAGTGACACTTGATTAATGACTCTATCTCAGCCAATTTGCATATTGCAATATATTTGCAAATTCGTATTACAAATCGTTCTAAAGTGCTCCAAAGTCAACGTTTCTAGAAATAGATTCTATATGGGCTCTAATTATTCAGTTAACTGTTTGACATTGCAAACAATTAGTTGATTAATGAATATCTGTTGTCGAGCACACATATCACGCATACGCCACCGTAGCCATCAACAAAAATATTTTGAATGCCCAAACCCTTCTTCCTGGAAGCAGCAAAAAATAAAGAGATGCCTTTGGTTAAGCCAGACGACTGCGATATATACTGTAAATGTTCATACATAGAGAAGACTAATGGCTTAATATTATTCTAAAATGAAAATAGGGTTTTTGTATAAAGAAAATAGTTTAAAATATTACTATTAATTTAAAATGTTTCTAATAGTATATATGTATATTTAAAGACGTATTTAAAATGATTGAAATATATTAAGAATTTGTATACAGGTTTTTAAAAATATTTAAGAACTATCTAAAATCATTTGTGATTTGTTTTTTATTTTTATTTTTATTTCTATTTTTTTTTTTTTTTTTTTAATATATTWTACATTTGGTGGATTAATGAAAACACGTATTTTTTTTTTCAAATAAATATGGAGAGATTATTTATTGAGATATTTTTTTCTTCTAGACTATATCCTAACTTAAACGTAAATTTTATTGGTACATTGAATTATCTGTGAAAGAAATATATATATATGAGAGATGTCATATGTATGTATGTTTATGTTACGCTCCTCTCTATGCATCAAGTTTTGTTGTCATAGCTTGTAGAAAGAGATATACCATCTAGCTATTAAAATTTTTACATATACATATGTCAGTCTACATACCAAATAATGTTAACAAATCTCTCAGAGATCCTTCATCAAATAGACACAAAAAGCTTTTAAAATGTATTCAACTCTTTAGCTATGTTTTGAGTGCAGGGTATTTTAATAGCCCCTTAAAGATTTTAAGCTACCGTCAAGAATCTCAATACTTCGAAAGCCCAATAAAAACATTTTTTTAGTTTTTTTTTTTTTTTCTTGTGTTTGGTAAATGCGACAATGTCGGCGAATTGGCTGCGATAGAAGCAACAACAACACCAATGACAACGGGCAACGGCAACGGCAACGGCAACGACAACGACAACGAGAAACGCTTCTGAGAAGTCTGAAGCTCATTCGAGTTCAAACAGTTGTACTTTGTCTTTGGCCAGCGACGCGTCGGTTGTTGGTTGTCTGCGGATTGTTTGCCGCTTGTCGGATGAACGTTTCACGTTTATGGCGCTGCCTTATTCGGACGCAACAGGACGCACCTTAAAATACATATAAATATATATGCATGTATAGGCGTGTATGTATATACATAAATCGCGTCGCGTTGTCTAACCTTTAATTGGAGAAAAAAGTAAACGTAAAAATTAAACATAAAATAAAATAAAATAACTAGCAACTGGCAGCTGCCAATTGGCAGGCAGTTGGAGTCGGCGGTGAAGTCCACTCAGAAATTGGCAAGTGCTTGGAGCTCGGAAGCCGGCTTTGTGTCAGTTGTTTGGGTGCTCACTGTGTCAAATGTGTTGAACCTTAAAGTGGCTGCAGCTCAAGTGCTTAGCACAGACGCAGTCACTCAGTCAGTCAGTCACTCAGTCAGTCTGTCAGCCAGCCAGTCCCTCACTCAGTCAGTCTGTCAGCTTTTCAGTCTGTCCATGTGGCTTATCATATTGTTTGACTTTGAGCCTCTTTTGAATTATGCTCTGCTATCTGCACAGTGCCCCTACCCCGTCTCTGTTTTATCACACCTGCTTTGAATAGCCTCAAAGCACTTCCCCAACTCTAAAAGTATTTTTTAAAATAAAAATTCACTTCAATGTAAATTCGTGAGCTGCACATCCCGTTCGAAATTGAAGCAACAAGAATTCGTTACTTTTTAAGCTGTCCAAAGAAGTTATCTTTAAAGTCGAATCAACAGTTTTGTGCACGATTAATTTAATAGGAACTGCGAAGTGCCGAAGCTTGAATACTCTAGCCAAGATTTGCTGGGGATGTGATGGACTGTAAAGTTATTTAAGAATTGTTTTTTGTAATCTAGTGTCGATGTCTATGACAGTCTTAAATCATAATAAGCCAATCTTACTAAATATAATATATATACTATATATATTTTAGTGCAGCTAGCTTCAGTTCAAGCCAAATTCTTATAGGCATAATTTGTTGTACATATTGCGAAAAGTGCTCCATTCACCGTCCAATATTACATAACTACGCCACAAGGCTCTCTTGATGCGTATACAAATTATTTTCAATTTAAAGATCAATTAAATGTGCCAAAAGTGTATTTGTTCAATGAGTTGGCAAAATTGATCGACCTGTGTATAGCGGGGGCTTGGCCAGACTTGCCACAAACTTAAGGCGCAGAGCACACTCCATATAAAAATCGATTTGCCAAAAATAGCCGGAATTCATTTAAAATAATACCAAAAATACAAAGAAATTAATCTAACAATTTTTTAATGCATAAAGTGTATAAAAATAAACCCATGCGAAGCCCAAAATTCCTTTGTTTTGTTTTTTTTGTTTTTTGTTTTTTAATTGCAATAATCAGGAATCGTAGACAAAGTGCGTCGAGTATTACGGAACTTTGTTGTGGCATTTGTGCTATGATAAATATAATTGAAGACCAGGCGCCAGCTTAGCAGGAGGAGACGATCGCGGAGTGCGGGCGCTACGACTCGTGGGTGCTGCTATCAATAGAAATAAAAATTAATAGCAACAAAATTGTCAAGTGGAAAAGTGTTGTAACCCTTTTAAGATATAGTTAAATATTTTTATATGCTGTAAATTGCTGAGAAGAGGGGTATATACATACTCTTAAAATTGAAAAAAAGAATGATAAATAGTAAAAATAAAAATAATA